GGTTCCCATAAATCTGGCCAAAAACAAGTGTATAATTAACAAAAACAAGTACAAAAAAAAAAAAAATAAAATAAAATACAAATAATAGCAAACGCGTGTGTGTGGTGCATATAAATCAATTGAAGCAAACTCCTAGCTGTCTGGCTTAAATATTTAATTTGGTCTTAGCCCGACCTAAACATATAAGTGGCAATAAAAATTTGTTTTTTTCCCGCTGCTGTCAAATCTCGCCCTCTCTGTCGCACTCGCGCCGTCTCCAAAGCGTGTTTGAGCGCATAAATATAAATAAATAAGCGAACTACGAGATATTTGTTTGTTGTGACCAGCGCTCCGGACCAGGTTAAGCTGTCTGTGCGTGTGTGTGTGTTTAGGCTACTTATTTATGTGCCGAAGAATTGCACAGGCAGGCAGGCTGGCTTGAAACCTACGCCAAGCCCAACTCGTTTGCCGCAGTGCGAAAAAGGTTCAAAGTTCAACGTGAACGCCAACTTGACTGCAAGTTAAAATTTATTACAAGCTGCTGTTAACCTTTACAATGCTTGGCCGCATCCCAGTCGCAGCCGCAGTCGCAGTCGCGCTCGCGCAATCCTTCGCCCGAGTGTTGTCCTGTGGGCATCGTTTGCCACACACACACAAAATATAACGGGCAACAAATAAACGCAAATAAAATAACAGAAACTCCAAGCTCATAAAAGCCAAGCACACACGCTCGCACACACACGTTCACACACACACACACGCACGCACACAACGAGTGTAGCGGAACAGAAAAAAAACCATGGTATGTATTTTTTTTCGGTTGTTGTTGTTGTTTCGTCCTCCTAGGTGTTGCCTGTGCTCAGGCAGCTCGCCATCGACTCAAGTGTGCACTCGTCTATGAATCCGCATCCGTAGACGCATTCGCATTCGCATCCGCAAGCGCATCCGCAGCCGCAAGACCCACAAAAGTCGTCGCAAATAAATAAATAAATAAAATAAAAGAAAATTGTGCAAGTTTTTCTATTCGAATTTCTAGCATTTGTTTTATTTTTATTATTTTCTACATCTGTTTTTTGTTTTCGGGTGGAGCAGCAAATTGTTTGCTTACGTGCGTAAATTTTATATCAATAAAGGTTAAACTTTCTCTCTGTCTGTATGGGTGTGTTTGGTATTTATTTTGGTTTCACTTTTTGGTCAGCTCTCTGGTTACCTGTGTTTTTTTTTTTTTTGGCCAACATAAATATGTTAATGGCCAAATGCTTTAAACATGCTCAAGTGCTTGATCCAAGCGAACGTGTTGATTAAACCTATTTTTTTTTAAATATTTCTCGCACTGAATAGTTTGAATTATTGAAGAACTCGTGTCGTCGAGCTTTGCCTTGTCTATTTGGTTAACTCGCGAATAATTGATAATTGCAGCTGACGACATGGCAATGCACTTAAATGCGCTCAAATGGCCAATTTGTGTAAATTTGTATAAAACGCAAATTAAAATTCTATTTTAGATTCAGTTGCTGGTAAAAATTCGCTGAACGCGCTGCCTGACATGAACATCGACTCTTGGTTGTAAGTTGGTTTGTCGAAAATATCTCTTGATTTTTTTTATGTTCCCCCCCAAAGTTCTTCTACGTAAGCTGCATATTTGTAGCATATAAATTGTCGCTATTGTGTGCCACATTCTTGAACACTTTTTTGTTAATGTTTTCATGTGAAAAATAAAATGTTTTATTTCTTTCCTCGAATGCTTAGAATGTTGCCATACTTCTTTCTGTCGCATTTGTAGGTTTGTATCCTTTATTGTCTGACATTCTTAAACGTTTCACTCAAATTGCCTTGCTCTCGCTTTGGAATATTTAATAATGTAATTTTACATTCCGTAAGCATTTTACTTGCAGAGTGGGAATGCGCTTTGCTACTTTCTGTGCATTTTTAAGCGGCTGCGATATTGTTTTTATGGCATACTTTAAATTTAAACGATAGAGTGTGAATGCCATATTTCTGTTTCTTATAGTTTACTTTGAACATTTGCTGTCTTTTCTTCTTTATATGAAACTTTTCTTCCAGCAGCGTAAATATATTTTCTCCTCTCTTTTCCCCTTAGCCAAATATTTGGCTTTTCAATTCTTCTTTGTGTGATATCCGTAACCTTAACACTTAGATCTGTGACTGTCCTTTATTTGTCTCCAATATTCAATTCCTTTACTGTCCTCTAAATTTCTTTAATATTTTGCTCTACACCATATCTGTTTTTTGTTGTTTGAAGTCTGAAGATGGCTTTTGTTTGTGATTTTTCGAACTTCTTCATAAACGTTTCACTGGCAGAACGTTGAGTCTTCTCTCTTTCTGAGAATAAAACAAAAAACTTAATTCAGATTTACGTCTTATTATTTCATGAATATTTTTTCTACTGGAATTGCCAGAGCTTACCGCACCTAAATAGAGAACGGAAGGTTTTCGTATGATTTAGATATTTTACTGAGCTCTCTCGATTCCTAAACGTTGCACTGGCAGATTAACTTAACATATGAAAGCTTTCTGTTTCTCTCTGTTGTAGAACCTTTCTATTCTATTCTTCTCAAATTTCTCTTTGTGAGCTTTATTCTTAGTAACATTGTCATGCTTACATTATTTTTCTCTGATATTTTATTTAAAAGAACAAAATTGTGTGTACAAAATGCAATTGACAAAAATTCCCCAAAGACAAAGCTCAGAACAATCGGCTTCCCTTTGTTTACCTGCTGTTTGTGGTGTGGATGTTATTTTCACTGCCCTGCAATTTGCAGCCCGTTGTTGTTGAATTGTGCACGGCATTTATGGGGCTTGAGGTGTTCCATAAAATGTGCACAAATTTTAGCACAACATGCTCAATTAAAGGGGGGCGGGGCTCCGGGCGGGGCTTGTAGACATCAACATAGCCGCAAAACAGTAAACAAATGCTAACTCAGCTGAGAGTTGGGTCGCACAACTGTGGTTTGTCTCCACAGCTCTTGTTAGTCATCGCAGTTGACATTATGCGCATTAAATGCGCTTGAAATGTTGCACAAACTGGCATTACAACTGCCACGGAGACCGACGCCAGCCAGCAGCGGCAGCAACACTGCAACTGACACTTGCCGGACGCTGGCGTTAGGCAAAGCCGGAAGCCTTGTGGCCGGTGCTCCGGACCCGGACCCGGACCCGTGCCCGGGACCGGCTACGTCCTGGCAGCGAGTAACTGCCAAAGCGCTTCTGTGAATTATGTCGTTTGAGTTCAGCTCGAGTGAGTTTCTAATGCAAAATAACAACAAACTGTGCCAGAGCATTTCCTATCCCCCGATCCCCTTCCCCGAACGCCCAAACAAGCCCCGGCATTTGCCGCCGGAAGAGGCAAAACCGCTGTCATCCACGTAACTGGCAGTTGGCTGGGCGGGCTTAGCCGGGACTTAGCTTAGCCGTAGCCCTCGCTTGTTGGCCATAATTAGCGTCGCATGTTGTGCTTTTAATTAAATATTTAACAAAATACATGCGTGTTACTCTCCAGCTATACATTTTGTTATATTTTTTTTTGCATTTTCTTTTCGCCAAGTAGCACTTTAAATTCATGCTCATTTTTAATAACAAAACGCACGGCGCGTATACGCAATATCTGCTTCCGTTCCATCGCGCAATCCGCTGTTAATTAGCAGCTTTATACGCCTGCCGCCTGGTGGCATTACAAATTTATCATGCACCTTGACGAGCATGTCCTCTATCTTAAAAGATTCCCAGTAGGCACACCTACGATTAGAATTGTGAATTGGCGAGAATGGAAATTAGCTTGGCTTGGTTTGTGATTGAGGAAAGAGGCTTTGACATTTCAAAATAGTTATTACATAACTTCGCTTAGCTATTGCATAGGATTTGAATACTATAACTAATTGCTCAGTTGCTTAGACAATAACCTTAAAAATAACGTATACGTAATATCGTTTAACTTAACGCCTTTTTGAAGCCCGAAATATATATGATATATGATATATATATAATATATATTATATGAAGTATGTTATATGATATATATAATATATATTATATGATGTATGTTATATGATATATATAATATATATTATATGATGTATTTTATATGATATATATAATATATATTATATGATGTATGTTATATGATATATGATGTATGATGTATGATGTATGTTATATGAAAAATGATATATGTCATATGATGTATGGTGTATGATGTATGATGTATTATGTATGATTTATAATGTATGATGTATGATGTATGATGTATGATGTATGATGTATGATGTATGATGTATGATGTATGATGTATGATGTATGATGTATGATATATGATGTATGATGTATGCTGTATGATGTATGATGTATGATATATGATATTTAATATATGTGTATGATATATGATGAAATAGTTTTAAGGCAGCGGTTGTAATTATCGATTACATATTTTACACAAAATTATAATACTCTTCTAATATGAAGTAAGGCCATTATTTAGTTCAGTTTTTAATACTTCCCGTTTGTCTATTTACAACAGATATTATACAAAATAAACCTCCGGGACTGCTGGAATTGTCCTCTGCCTTAAGAGTATATTTATATCTGCTATATAGCTTTTTCTGTTTGATTTTTAAAAATTTTTCCTTTTTCTAATTACAAAAGCCTTATACTTAAAATGAATCATAACCTTGTCTATAAAGCAGTAATTTTATTTAGCTATACTAAGCTATAATTGAGGAATATCTCGTATGAGCAAACCTTTTCCTTGCAATTTCATATTTCCATTAAAAAAATACCAATTTCTGTCTGAATTCACTTTGCTTACGGATGTTTATCGTTTTGCCTGCCTTGCCATCGGCTAATGCCCACTAAATGTCAGCTTCAGCCAGAGTAAAGTGCTGAAAATGGTTTTCAGATTCCTCGCTTTTAATGCAATTATAATTGATTGTACGATAAGGCTTTAAAATAGCTGTCAAAAGTCTGCCAGCGGTTCAGTTCTGTAAATGTAGCATAAGCGGATTGTAATGGCCGCAAACGAACTGCTCCTGTGTCTGGTGCTGGCCACACTTTGTCAAAGCTGGCCAGGATCTGAAATTGCAGCTGCAATTGGAGGCAGACGACAAGATTTTCTCTATAATTTTGTGGCAAGGCTGCACGAGGAGCGGCCAATTCTGTTGCTGTTGCTGCTTCAGCGTCGCCGGGACAACGGCTTTGGCGCTTTGCAACACTGGCAAGCAGATGATTGGCCAGTGTTGCGTTACGACGAACACGAGGAGATCATTGTGAGAAATTCAACTCGAGAGGCCTTGGCACTCGTTTGCATTAGAGAATTAAGTGATTCGGTCTTGCTGACCGCACTGGCCGCCAATTTTGACGGCATGCGAGAGGGCCGAATTGTAGTTTGGCTGCAGCTGGAGGCTGCACAGGCGGCACAGGAATTTCTCGATATAATTGCCCAGCAGGCAATAGATCATCATTTCTTTAATATATTAATACTGCGAGGCACTAGTGAATTTTCTGTGCTACGCATGCGACCATTTCCGATGCCCAGCTACGAGCCGCTGCCGCTTAACAGCACTGAACGCATCTTTAGCCAACACTGGCGCAATTTTCAGGGCAAAACGGCCGTGATGTTATCCTCACTGGTGCCGCCCAATAGCTTCATAAGCCGCGATCTGAAAACGGGCCGAGAGTACATCAATGGCTTCTGCCACAATCTGCTGCACAGCTTTGCCAAACATCACAACATCAAACTGAAAGCGTTCATTCATCCTTTGAATAAATCATCGCCCATGTTTTATACGCCACAGATCATGTACCTGATAGGTATTGGACAGGTGGATATCGTGGCCAATTTGCAGCCGTATGCTCAGAGCCTCAAATACGCCGGAACACAAAATACCGCCAGCCTGGGCATGGTCAGCATGTTTTTGGTCGTGCCCTGCGGCCGAGAGTTGAGCATTGAACGGATCTACAGGCTTCTGTTTCCGATTAACTGGTTAACTTTGCTGCTGAGCATCTACTTGAGCTTTGCGGTGCTCGAGACGCTGGCCACAAGCTTCAATTATCGCCTGCTGGAACGTCATTTGTATATTAGATATTCCAAGCTCTGGTTGAATTTGACTGTGCTGCGTTTTTTTCTGAGCCAAGCGGCGCCGATTAGCCACTGGACCAGCTCCTCGCTGCGCCAGCTGCTTTTGCAGCTGAGCTTCTTCGGCTTGGTAATCTACACCAGTTTCAATGCCCGGTTGAGCACCATGTTGACCAAACGACCGCACGACACGCACATTCAGAGCTATGCGGCGCTGAATGCCAGCCGTTTGCCAGTGGTCTTCGATTGGAACACACGTGTGCTCATCGAAGCGGAATATGATGCGTTGTTCTTCAGGCGACATGTGCCCAATGCTGTCTTCATGGTCTCCAAGGATCAAGCTGAATTGATACTTTCCCTTAATACGAGCTATGCCTATCAAACCTATTCTTATCTCTGGAATGCCTTGGACATTTATCAAAAAACTTATAAGCGACAGATTCTGTGCAAGTCGAATGCTATGCACATTGCCAGAGAGTTTTCTGTGAATACAGTCCTGCAAAGGAATTCTATCTATGCTGAAGCTCTAGATGACTTCATTTTGGATGTTCAGAGCTCGGGTGTCGAGAAATGGCTGAAAACGCGGGCCTATTATGATATGCTTAGGGTCAAGGCACCATCGATGGTTAATACAACGACTATTGGCCAGGTTAGGGCTCCTCTTCATTGCGACGACCTGAATTTGTTATGGCAATTGCTTCTTACGGGACATGTTATTGCGGCTGTGGTCTTTATTGCTGAATTAAGTGCGGGACATTGGCAAAGGCAATTGAGAAACAGGAACAACAGAGGGGCAGAGGTGGAGCCATCTGATTAATATGTATTTATTTTTATATTTGTATCTGCACAAATATTGCTTTGATTGAATCTGAGCACGCAAAACGCTTGCATTAAATAAATCCTTAGGAAAGTCCCTCTTCTATTTGTACTGGCTTTAAGGACGTACGAAAACGGTCTTTAGGGAGAATGCTTGTGTAACGTTTAAGAATGAGTCACAAAGAGGAAATGCAAGAACTTTTAGGACAATAGGAGAAGGATAAGTGGAAAAAAAGACACGCACACAGCCAGAGAGCAAAAGAAAGAGCGAAAGGCAGAAAGAAAGAAATAGGACAGATAAGTGTAGAAGAAATAGAGAGACACAACAGAGAGAGACAGAACGGACGAAATGAATTAACAGAGAGAAAGAAAGAGAGAGAGAGAAAAAGAGAGAGAGGAGACAAAGAGTGAGAGTTAAGAATAAAGATAAAAATATAGAGAGATAGAGTGGGAGAAAAAGTCAAAGAAAGCGTAGATGTTTAGAAAATTAGTAAGAGACTGTGAAAGGTTTAAGAATACGACACAAAGAGATAACAAAAATGTGTTTAAAAGGACAAGAGCAGAGTAATATATTAAGAGGATGGTAAGTTGCTTGGGAATAAAACATTCAGATTAATCGAACTGTGTGGACGAAGTAGGAAATAAAAAGGAATTTCAAACAATATGTTCAATAGAAAAATTGCGAGGGTAAAAAATATTCAAAATTAATTGCATAATAAATAATTTGCATTCGCAAGCGATTGTCAAAGAGCTACTCGCTCAAATGAGAACAGTTTTGATGTTATGTGGAGTTTGGAGCATGGCCCTGGAACAGCATGACGACTTTTTCCAAATACTGAAATAATAAATGTGCCACGAAATTTATAATGCTGAACCGTATGTTTGTTTTCGGTGCAGCTATTAAAATTTCATCTGGCATGCACAATAAAACGCTATCAGAGAGTGGCCATAAAGGCATAAAAGCCAAATGACATATGTGACGATATGCCACGCATTTATGACAGACGACGACACGCGACACCCGACGAGACGAGACGAAACGAGACGACATAATGAAAGCCAAGTTCTAACAAAAAACTTTCGCCAGTTCATGAAGCGCCTCAATAATTGACTCAGACAGTTATTCAATGCATTAATCAGATCGATGGGTATGAGAACTCTGTGACAGCTCAGAACAGCTGAAACATATGTTCAAAATAATAGATAGATACTCTATACAAAAGGTTGGGTAGCTGGAAGGACCTTGAAACGAAAAGCCAGACAAGGTACAAGGTACTTAATTATTGCATAATAAATCAGGCAATGTATACCTTATTGATGAGAGACTCTATATATATATATATATATATATATATATTTATATATATGTGTGTGTGTGTGGCGCAGCAATTAGGAACGAGCTGGATATCATATGAATATGTATGGTGCATGTTGAGTAAATAATGCTTGAAGTGGTTAGGGGAGGCGTTTAGAGCGGGGCAAAATCAATCGATTGACGTCAGGTAACAAAAACCGTTCAAGTGCCCAGAACCACCGATTCCAGCAAGAGGCCAAAAAACTGGCGCACACACATACACACACACACACAGCTATGCTCGTTATGTATAAACATGCATGACTGCTCAGCATACACACACACACACACACACACACACCATCACACACACACACATCCATGGCTTATGGGGCGTATACGTCATGTGCCTTATGAAATTAACTGCGTTGCCAGTTTATTTTTCGCCCCTTCTTTTTAAAGCAGCGTCTGGGCACAGTCTCACGAGTTCCTGTTTCACGCCCAAGAAACTAATGTAGGCGTGGCACGTTCACCTTGACAAGCCCTAAAGCCTTTAATGCCCACAGCTACAAACGCATTTCACAGCTGAAATTTCATTTTGCAGCTGATTTCGCATCGCTGCGCCTTCACATTTATCATTTAATTAAAGCTTATACTTTTTATATGCCATATATAAAAAAAATGGCAGCATATATCATCGCATATACTCTATAAAAGCACATATATGTATATGTACATATGGGCGACATATTTTTGTGGTAAATAATTTATTTTTGCATTTCCGTTGAAATTTCTACTTGATTATTGTTCAGAGCTATTTGCATTTGTCAAATTGTTTGCTGATTGCCCTTGTGCCACGGGTGTGTGTGTCTTTTGAATATTATTGAAATGTTTTCTGATTGGACTGCCGCAAAAAAAAAAAGCTACATATGTATACATATGTGCTATGGTTATGTCAAACTCATGTGTGCGTATGTGTGATACAAATTGCCAGCTTGCATGTTGAACACAATTTTTATTGTAAGCTAAAATGATTAGCAAGGGATTTTGATTCGACTAAAAGCTTATAAATTGCCAGCCCACACAGTGTGTATATATATTTTAATATATGCGCAAATTATGATATTAAAAAACATTCTTTGCGGCTTTTATTTGAATTTTATAACGGCAGTTGAATAAATCTACAAATGAATATATATTATTAACAAATATGCAAGATATGTTCAATTTTTAATTTTATACTTAAATATGCACAGATTTTATGAATGCATCTAAAGTTATTTATAGCCATGCAAAAAAATTTGTTTATTTGCACTATTCAACGTTAAAATTCATATGAAAATGAAGCTCAACAATTTTCAAGTATAACTATTTTTCAGGCATTTTTGCAGCTCGCATTGTGCGATAAAGCTTTTATTTAATATTTTACGGGTATTGTTTATTGATCTTCTATTAACGTCTGATTCAAAATAAAAAAGAAATATGACGCCATAAATTTAAATGCAACAGAAAATTAAATGCTATGCCAAGTATAAAGCAAAGCCGGACAGGACAATAAATTACATTTATTTTTATATAATTTGTACTCAAGTAAATTCACAAAAACAATCTGCATACTCTTACTTTAAATTCTTTTTAACTGATCCTTGATAGTTTTTTCTTAAGAACTCCGTCGAAAGATATTTTAATTCTGGTTTATTTATTTAATTTACTTGTACTTTTACTTTCTTTTTCAGAGACTTTAGTTTTTTGACTGTAATTTATATCTAGTTTTATATTTACAATTAATCAGCTTATATTGATATTATTTTTAATATAAAATTCATACCTCCCGAAAACCGAAATTATAGTTTTAAGACTTAGGATTTTTTTCGCAAAGTACAATTCTCTTTGGGTCCAATTAAAGTAATATTCAAATTTAAGAAGCTCCATACTTTAAATGCCATCTAATTAAATATATTCATAAACTTTCTTACGTTATTTTTCTTCAAAGTTTCTAACTGTCCATCGAGTTTTGAGTAGCAGCTGCTCTTGGCTAAATATTTTAATCCCCAAAATATTTTCTGCTCAATTAGCAAAATAAATGGGAAATAAAAATAAATAAAAATTAATAAACAGTAGCCAATAAATTATTGTATTTAATTTATGACAAAATGCCAAGCATTTTGTAAAATTTATTGCAAATGCATTTGAAAGCAGCTGCTGGCGGCTTAATATGCAATATTAATTCCCTTGCATAAATTTATGTGTGCAATTTATTGCATTTAATTATTTTCGTATGATTAGTTTGCAAATATTTGGCATTTGTGCGCTCTGTTTGAGCTGAAAGTGCACAATCGAATAGAAGATAATTAAATTAATTAACAGTAACCACAAAAAGTATGCCAACACGGCAGTGCAATGAATATAGATGTATATATTTTGTGCTAAATTTCGGGCTTAAAACCACAGAAACTAATAAAGTTATTTAGCCCGTGTGGCAAGAACGACTTGACCGCATTAAAGCTGGCCAATTGGCCCGCCGACCCCTTGCCCAAAAACTCATTTTAAGCAAAATGTGGCCAAAGACATTTAAATATATATATGTCTGTATATAAAGGAATGTAGTGCAGGCAACTTAATAGATGAACCAGCTCGAGGCAGCTGCCATTGCTGCAACTGACTGTGAAAAGCCCCTCGGGCAGCTGTGCTCTCTCTTTTTTTCTTGTGTGCATTTCAGCAAAAAGTTCACAGCTTAGTGCGGCAAGTATTTGCCTGGTAGCAGTCCTTGCAGCAGCAGAAACATGCAAGTAAGCCAAGTAGAATATTAAGACTTAACAGCGTAAAAGCCAATTGCAGCAGCCATAAAAAAAAAAAACGCAACTGCAATTGAGATTTGTGCAACGCAATATAAGGCAAAAAACCTATAAGAAAAATAGCATACAGAAGAGCAAAAGTCTTACTTGCTGCAATTGCAGCAGACATTTAAAGTCTTTGCTCAATGAAATTATGGCACATTTCTGACGCAATTTCATTCGACTGGCAGCTGCCTGAAAAGTTTGCACTGCCGCCCGCCCAAACACTCGAAAGTTTTTTTTATTATTAATTTTCGGCTGGCATCATTTATCAACTTATCAGCCAAGCTAACAACTTGCGACAGCGACTTTAATGCACTCAGTTCGGCAAAGTCACTTATCGGAAAACAAAGAAACGACAAAGAAAAATAGAAGAAAAGGTGCTTTTACAGAATGCCGAATATTCAATTCACTTTTACGCTAGCCGTGTGAAAGATAAACTAGTCTGGTTTTAATTGAAATCATGTCAAACGCAAAATATTCAAATGAACAACTTTTTTATTTTATTTGTTGAGCAGCAATGCAATCGGATTTAAATTTGGTAGAAAAGGCAAATTTATTTCTATCAATTTTCTGCGAAATATTTTTGTGGCAATTGGGAGTTCTTTGCTAACTTTTAGAAGATTTAATGAAAAATATTTCAGTATGAGTACTTCCGATACATACAAGCTCTTGTCTGCTAGCACCAAGAAATGTATCGATAAAATAATTGTTCTTATTGCTGCAAATTCCCTTTAAATTACATGCAAATTTCTCACTTTAAATATGTTTATCTAAGAAAACTACACTAGCCTAAGATTCGTATTCGGATCCGCGTCATATTTATTATTAGATGACAATTTGCGGATTTTAATAAAAAAAAAATGCAATCGT